GAGGTCCTGGTGCCTCCACTCCAGCTAGTAGTTTTGGTTAGAGTTTATTTTCCTAGGATGACGGCGTAGGTATAATAGACTTCCGGGAGCCGTCGGATCTGAGATCCAACGGCCCAGAAGCCCGTATCATGGTATCATCTAAGTGTTGGTAGCACCTAGTATTTCCCCCGACTCTAGCTAGTAGTTTTGGTTAGAGTTTATTTTCCTAGGATGACGGCGCTTTATCTTTAAGTTGGTCTTCCGGCCTTCGCTTTGATTGTCCTTGAGTTCGTCCATCCGGACAAAATTAATGGAGCTTTGACATAGATTCCTGTCGTCTCTTTTGGACGGTGAGATTTAGCATCAGACGCTTCAGGTCGATTTAAGACACCAGTACCACGACAATGTTAGGGTTTCTTCCCGTGCGTGTGCAACGCCATGGACACGGCGATAATACCGTGTCCGCAGCTCATTTTGGCAGCGGTAATGGTTGCTTGGCGATGCAGTGTTTTAGATGTAATTTTTATTATGTCTGAGGTGCTTTGTACTTCATATATGAATCTGTATAAAAAACTTATTTTTAATCCTAATAATGGTTACTATCGTGTTCGTAGCTCAAAAAAAGAAAAGCATTTCTAAATCTTATTTCGTAGTATGAGTCTAGACTTTTGCCCAGGCCAGCTCGGAGCGTACTTGGCATGATCATTCGCTGGTCATGACTCATGCAAGCTTAACATTACAGCCGATCAAGATGGCCGTTTTTAATGCGGTAATACGGATGCGGACTGGATCTTAACTAAAGTGCTACTTCCTTCATTCCAAATTACTCGTTGCAAAAATGAATGTATTTAAAATTAAAATACATCTAGATACATTCATACCTACGACGAGTAATTCGAAACGGAGGGAGTATTAGTGTAGTATCTTGAACTGTTAGGGATGACCGCTGACCGAAGCACGTGGACGAACGGTTTGGCAAGTTAATTAGTTACGACGAAGTGAGTCTGGCATCATACATCTTCGATGATGATCGGTACGTACGCCCATCCATGGCGTGAAGGTGCGGTGGGGGAGGCATGGCAGAAATGCATGGTAACCGACCGGGGCCATGCATGCATGGGGCCAGGATGGGTCACACATGCATGCATGATCTGGATCCCGTCTATCCACCCACATGGACGACGACGACGAAGAAAATACAATTCAAGTTTAGATCACTGGCCTGTTTAGTCTTGACTCAAAACGTGCAGTTGGAGCCTACCGGCGGCGCTGACATGCATGTAAGACCATCTACAACTGCAATTCACAAATCCGAACCCTCTTTCCAGGCGCAAAAAAAATAAAAAATCTGATAACCCTCATATCTTAGTCATTCCTTGAATTAAACTTTTATCCCGTTTTATAAATAAAGCAAACATCCATACAACCAAGTACCAAGAGCAATAGTATGAACGGACGGCTGGGGTCACATCACAAGCACGCCCAAGAAACAAAAAAGAAACATAAAAAAGGCTACCGAGTGGCAAACTCCGAAGCACGCCTATGGAGCAGAAAGACGCCACGCCGATGCCACCAGCGCATCCAACATCTCGCCTAGCCGGTCGCGATCCCGCTGCCTAGCAAGCGGGTGCCGGTGCTATAGAAAAGCCAAAAATTTAAAAAACGAGTCAGAAGTCCGACGCGGGAAGATCTGCTCAATCACCATTTTATTGTGAGTAGTCCAAAGGGTCCACGTCAAATCCGCGAAGATAAACCAAAAAAGGCGGCGGTTGCGACCCGCCTGGGTTGCCCTGGCCTGCAGGAACTCGGCCAGGTCTCCAGCCTCTCAGTCGGGCCCGAGTGCCTCCCGAACAAACCTCCACAGCGCCCGTGCCGCCGTACAGGAGAACATGATGTGAATGCTCATCTCTGGGATGCTACAGAGGGGGCAAACACCATCACCCGGACCGTTGCGCTTAAGGACCTTCGTCCCCGAGGGCAAACGGTTTTGAAGCAACTGCCAAACGAAGATCTTTATTTTAAGCGGCACAGCGCCTCACATCTTAGTCATTGCAACCATAATCCTCATTTTCATGCTACTACATGCAATGCAATGTCCCATTTCACCTCTCTCTATATATAGCTAAAATTTAGCAAACTAACTACTCATCATTGGACATATCGATGACCTTCTGGCCGCAGTCGTCAACATCATGGTCATTGGCCGCCGGGCAAAATGTCGACGCCTCCTCGTGTGCGAAGAGCTACTCACGCTTCATACCCACCTTGTGGATGAAGCCGGCAGTTAGCCGCCACCTCCACCTCCGACTGGATGGACTTGACGATGGCATGCTGCTCCGTCGCCTCCTCTGCTTGGGCGAGCTTGAACCCCGACAGCGGGTCCTCCATGTGGAATCTGGCATGCTCCGGCGTCGACGCCTCCACCTCCTCGTCCGACATCGACTCCTCCTCCCACACCTTAGCCTCTTCCATCTCCTCGTCCGACGCCATCACCTCCTCTTGCTCCAGTGTCTCCACCTCCTCCTGCTCTGGCGACACCTCCTCCTTTGGGGAGTTCGAAGAGTGCCTCGACGGCGTGCATCTCCGTCCAAAGCTCCAAGGTCAACAACTTGTAGTACGTCGCTTGTTAAACCATGGCGGCAGGCGTACGACGAGCTTAGATTGGAAGTGGAAGAGGGGAGAAGGGAGCAACAACGACACAGACAGGAGGGAGAGGATGGGAATGGGGACGGGGTTAGGTTGCCTCGCCGCCGACTTAAATAGCCATATTTGGCCCCTCGTGTGGCGTGCTGGAGCGACACCATGAATGCGTCCTCACTGAACCAAAGGAGGCGTTCATTGGACCGACGGGTTCTAGCGCGGGCCTCTCCCGTCGGTCTGACATGGCGGACGCATCCGGG